CCACATCCCCTTCAGCATCTATTGTTATTAGAGTTCTTGATTATAGCCATTCTAAAGGAGTGAGGTGGTATCTCAATGTTGTTTTGATTTGCATTTCTTTTATTATGCCTATATTTTTATTGGTATTACCTAGTAGTAAAGTAGATAATACTAATCCACATGGGAAGACTACTAATTTTGCAGTTGGACTTAAAATGTGTTATTTTAAACAGACAACTTTTGATGGTCAAACAAATATCTGGCCTCAATGAGCTTTTAAAATATTTTACCTGTGTTGCTGGAGGTTGGCCCTAGGTCCTTGTACATGATAGGCATATGTTCTAGCTCTGCACTAAATCCCCAGAGCCTCTCTCACCCCATCCAAACACACCAAGAACATTGACAATTCTCATATACCAAACACAATACTTGCCAGGCCATAAAGTTTAATAAGGCATTCTTACAGGAAGGCATGAAAAATCAACTTTATTCTTGCACAAATATGACACTTTATTCTTCAAAGTATTCCTTTAAAAATAAGTTAGTTTTTCCACATTATTCTTTTATTAACATATAACTATTGATCAAAACATAATATCACTGATTCACATAATGTAAAAGTATTAGCCATTTAACACACTGTTGAAAAGTACTTGCAATATTTTATGAGAATATTTTACATTTTTACTAAATTCAGTGGACAGTTTCCTATTTTTCTTTAAAATCTACAAATGTCTTAATTCTCACATTACAAAAATTAAATAAAACAAAAAAGCCAATCGCACAATAAAATCCTAGAAAAGCACACTGATTTTAATGACAGGGCATATATGAAATCACTGTGTAAAGCTCTTTTTAATGAACACTTTTGGAAAGCTTGCATTGAGTTCGAGAACAGACCTGTTATCAATCTGTGAACAGAAGGACACGTCCAGTAAGCAGAGATCTTTACAAGACTCCAGCAGTTTTCTTAAAGATGCTGGACTTACCATTCTTGTTCCTGTTTAAAAACAAAACAAACACAAACTTTAAATACAGAGTTTGTAAAATGTTCTAATGAGTCCCATAATCATTTATTTGAAACTAAAAAGAAATGGTCTTTTAAAGCTTAAAAGCTAGTGAAATAAGCCAGGCCCAAAGAAACATAGGTCCCATGGTTTCCCTTATTTGCAATAACTAGTATATGTCTGAGTCAAGCAGAAAAGGTCAGA